GTCAGAATGTTAAGTGATAATTATGTACGTTTTATCACCAAGTTTCTAACGTTTATAGGCACGTTAAATAGGGGAACTCGTATTTCTCCTTATTTCATAGGAGTAACTCCTGCCGCGTGGTTCTCTCGAGAGAAAATCGCAGAAAGCGAGGAAGACTCGAACTGATCGAAATTCAAGATGGCGGCTCGTCTTCTCGCGTCGCGGGCCCTCCGCTCTCTCTCGTTGTATCACCCCGAGGTGTTTGACGACAGGGTGTCCGCCCTAACGAAGGGTGCTAACTAAGAAGGGCCAGTCCGAGCTTCGCAAAGGGGCTTTTTAATGCCACTTAATGACATTATCTTTCAGCCGGTGGCCCGGCATAATGGCGATTCGAATATTCTGGCCGGGCCGGAATAAGCGGCCTCAAGGAAGACGATCGATCGAGGCGTTAAGTGGATTACAGGGCCAGGGTGGTCTTCCTATCCTTCCTCTCAAAACCGAGTAAAAAACCTCGCCAGCCGTTGCCAACCTCTCCTCGTCATTCTCTTCGTTAGCCGCCAACTTCACGAGCGACGAGTTGAAGATCATTAATCTTTCCACAATTAAGCAAAGTGCAACGTGACGCGGGGTGAAAGCGGGATACACCCTTGGAGGCGCGAGCGCCGTGAATATCGGCCCTCATCGGGTTATCACGGATCGCTTGGTTATCCCCTCGAGTGGACGTCGAAATGGCGAATTTCGACGAGGAAGGATGCATTAAGCTTTCACCGACGAGTCCGCACTCTTCGATCCACTCGCGAATGGAATTAGTCCACCCTCCGGAAAGCTTTGTATTTAAAGCACGCCTACCCGAAGACTCGCAGACGGCTTAAAGAGTCCCGCAACCCCCGGGATTCCTCGGGGATTTATTTGTCACTCTTCGCCCGGGTTTTCTTGATCCCGGCCAACGTTAGACATTCCCGGAATAAACGAGGGCATGCCGTGGAGGAAACATCTGCTGGATCCGCCCTGTATTTTTCGCCAGCCTCACAACAGGTGTATTCAATTCGTCATGTCCGCGTAAGTTTTCTGCGCAACGTGTGCCTGGCTTATTTTAGAAATATGGCGATCTCGACCCCGTTCAGAAAGTTCCCTGATATATTGTATACATATCAAACGCGAGTAAAACGGGGGGATCGGTCCGATGTTTCGTTGCCTCTTTGGAGGTGCATTATAAATTTCCTTCGGTGCGCCAACGTAGAAACGGAGTACACATCAATGAGGAAAAGCGGGGTAGGTCTATGAATAGTTAATGCAACTGGGGAATCTCAAATTTTATCGTTAATCTTTGGAAATATTTTTCGATACATTGTATACAAAAGATAAATTGAATAATTCGATCAGTGTCCTGGGAATATTTAACTCAAAATGGAATGTAAGATTTTATTAGCGTCCTCTTTATATTTGGTGTTTTTTTTTTTTTTTCCGGCGAGTGCATCTTTTGTGCAAAGGGTTAAATATAAAAGTTGAAGGAGCAAAAGCGCAAAGTCTCGGGAGTATAAAAGTGAAATGAATTCGCGAGGGTCTACTTAAGTGTTTCCCTCTTTGATGGCATTCCGGTTCTCTTTTCAGGAACGCAATAATCTGCCGCACGTATTCGAGGACCAACCCCGAGAATAGAGCCGCCGTTGTCGCGATATATGGGGAAAAAAATAAATAGAACTTCGAAAGAGCCCTCGAAGATGCAGTAAAAGCGAGTGGAGCTTCCCCAGAATGGGTGATGTTCTCCTAGCGAGTGTGGAGCTCGCTTTCGCCCGATCGGTTTCAAGAACGAAACGTTGCCGATAAAACTTTTTATCGAAGCCTTAACCCGAAACGCTACTCTCTCCCCCGTTTATGAAGGCAGAGGCCGCTCTTATCGAAGTACCCAAAACCCTGGAAGGGCTCTAAACTTTCCATCTCCTAAGCCTCCCGATTGTCTGGACTTGGAAAAACCTCGTCGAAAGAGGAATCCGGAGTAGTCGAGTGTATCCATATCCCTGAGAAAGTAAGTATCTTCATGAAGGGCCCTAAAGAGGATAAGTTTACATTAAATTGTATTATCAATGTTAAATTTCCAATCAACTCGTTTCTTCCGTTTCCAATATTTACTCACGAGAATACTGTTTAGGTTTTTCAAATTGATGAAGTGATCGAGACGACCCCAGGAGGCACGTTTCCCTTCAGGATCATTTGGGTATCCAGATCCTGTGGTTCTCTTCGGGTCCTCCCTAGACATATATCATCGTATCAAGTCGCGTGTAAACCTGATAATCTCAATGCTATGTTCAAATCGCCCCTACAGGTGTCCCGCGTTGTGGACAATCAGTGCTTCCTGGACCCTGAGGCGATGCTCCGAGAGGATAACGAGGATCGTCTTGATATCCGAAACGAGTAGCCCCGACTTACCTAGACATCCCATTAATATTCTCCCAGGGTGGTTTGCCAATGATTCGGTCGTGGCTCGGACGTGCTACCAAGGCTTTCGGAATCGGCAAAACCCTTCCACGTTCAGCATCAAAGTCACCGAGAAACTATGGTCGTATGGCCGCTAAACCGATCTCTTTACCATATGGTTTCCAACATCAACAATGGACAGAAGAAACTCAACGAGAACGCACCCTGAATCTCTTTAACTGCATTTCACCATGGCGATACGATTCACCCTAGTCTCTATAAAGAAGAGTGAAGACGTTCTTCGATTAAAAAGAAGCAACGATTGATAAAGAAATATGCCTCCACTCCAGGGCAAGGGTAATCTAAAATAAAAAAAATTTGTAAAAGATTAATTAACCGAATTAAAATGTGTTGTCAAAAAATTACCTAACGATGTTTATATTCCCTGAAACGACAGCCAGTATAATATGTAATAATTTATGTCGAATAAATTTTAATCGAACGATGTATAATATTGCCGATGAAGAGGCATTTCTTCACGTGACTACGTACCTCCAGGGGTAATAAACAACTTCATCTGTCGTGTGCTTGGTAGAAATTATTTCTATATTAATAAAAATAGAATTTAAACGTTTAATGATTTTCCCAGGAAGACAATGTCTTTAAACATCCGCGTCAAGGAGGAGCTTGACCATTGGGATACGTTAGGGCAATTCTTGGGCCACCGGGGACCAGTACTTGCCATTTAATTGGACGTACCCTCGCTGTGGGAGCAATTAGGAGAGAAAGGACCCCAACTGGAGGCGTGTTAAATCCTCTCCTTCCTCTCTCTCTCCCTTCCTCGCTCTCTCTTTCTCGCTCCTATCTTTCTATTTTTCCCTCCCATTCCTTCGCCCCTCTCTCTCTCTCTCTCTCGCTCGTTCTCTTGTGCCCTCACGCTTTGGGAAAGCTCCGCTACCAGGGTGACACGTTTTAATTAAAGGGATGAACACCCAAAGAACCTTTCCTCCCCGTTAAATCCGCGAGACGACCGCGGGTCTCCACGACCAATGCTTTCCGAAACAACTGACCCAAGAAATTATCCGGCGCTGATTTAATTGCGGATCTTTTCAAGAGACCGCCTTAAGGAAAATCTTGCGGACTCGTTTCGCCGTGTCAAGACGCGGCAAACCGACTGACTTAAGTCCTTCCTCTCTTTTCTCCACGAGTCTTGGTACCCTCTTGCCATGCACTCCGCCTCTCGCATACTATGCACCCTCTTCCTGTACGTATTCGATTCTGGCGCATAAAGTTCGCCAGGAAACGCTCATCGCCTTCGCGATCGAGAGTCGGTAAATGCAAATGTGTCCCTCTTCCGTGAACTTCCACGTCCAGGTTTCCCTGTGGTACACCGTGCTGCGATTTATAAACCAGTTTGTGGTTATCCATCCTTGGAATAACGAATTATCCGTCGCTTTGTAATGCAAAGTGGGGGGAACTCAGCTGAAAGAGTTCGGTAGATTTACATGATTTCAGAGAGAAAAAGGCCAGTTTTATTGTTTGGAATTTGTTTACAGGTTGTATTATGAAGTTGAGGGATCCAATTGGAGTTAGAGCGTTGCAGGTTCCGATTTAATTCATGTTTTTCTTTATTTAAGGTCAGTTGATTTATTATTTAAAACTTGTTTATAGACACTTTCGTAGCTGGGTCGAGGAATCCGTCTGGATTACGGTGCGGCAGGTTCCGATTTAATTTACCTGCGGAAAGCTCGGTGGGTTTTCGGGACGTTTCAGCAGCTCGAATCCTATCAATTTGGTTAAAGGCGATCGATCTTCTCGACGCTTCAGTTCCGCAGACCCTATCAATTCTTTCCGTAAATCCCGCGACGCAAAAAGAGATTGAAGAGCAAGGAGAGCAGATGTTTCTCCTACCTGGCTGCTTCGCGAGATTGAATCCATCGGCGCGAAATGCACGTATGATAGGACATCCAATAATTATTCACTTACAGGTCAAGTAGTTCATTTGTGTTGCGCCGGGGTATTTTTGAAATCCTACGGACTTGACGAGTCCAATTAAAATTGTAAACCTCGCGGTCTCGGCTTAACTCGGCCTCGACAAACTGGGAGGATTTTTTGGATGTTTTAGTGGGGCTGTCAGTATTTTAGGTCTTGAAATACATTCCAAGCAATGAAAAGAGAACCAGGGAGCAGAGGAACTTTGACATCTCCCATCTGAAAGGGAAAATATTCTGAAACCCTAAACGAATCATCTAGAAATCGTTAAGGTGGAGGGAAAGTGGTCCCCGAAGGGGGAAAATATTTACGCAACTTTTCTCCAAACTGGATGCACCGAATTATTTGAAACATTAACACGTGATTAGAGACATCCTAAGAAAGAACGCGATGTTCATGAAATTTAATTTGTCAAACAATTCTTTATATTGCCCAGACTAGAATCAAGGACACACATTAACGCATTCACGACTGGTGTAGCGTTACGTTGTAGTCACTGTGTTACCGATCGGGAATTTTTTAACCGGGATTTCTGCAATAACTATTTTGGCTCGAATATTTGATAAGAAAAAAACAAACTTCTCCCTCTTATTGATATTTTCTTTTGGTTCCAGGTGAACGGACAAGACGTATCAAACTCTAGTCACGAGGATGCGGTGCGATGTTTCCAGTCGGCTCAGGAACCAATCATAGTCGAGGTCCTTCGACGCCATCCTGTTCAACAGGTGCAAACACCTGCCAAAGAGCTGGACAAGACCAACCACGAAGGACCGACGAATGACAAGGGTGTCGTGACCGACCGGTCGTTAAACGACGATTCCCAAACCGAGCCAATGGGTCCTTTCGTCTCGACGGCCGTTCAGACGGATTGGGCCGGACTCCTGGAAGAAGAGGAGCTCCTTCCGGTCAACGCCGAAGAGCAGACCAACGAAAGCTTCGAGGACTTCCTTAATCATGACATCGACTTCGAGGTACGACTTCGGAAAGTTGACTCCGCGCTTAATCCTCCGACCCGAGATAACGAGCCTACCATCCCGAACTCCCGGAACTATTAGTTCCTAGCTCTGTTCCCGAGGGTTCGCTTTGCCCGGTGCTCCGTGTCTTTCCTGGAAATGTCGAAGGGAATGCGTTCCTTCTGACTAGGTAAGCGAAGTAACCAGCGGAGCCAATCTTGATAAAAATTCAACCCGAAAGAATCAGCATACAGAATGACGGCTAAAAAATGTCAAAGAGTACCTAGGACCCTTAAATTTGAAAATACGCATCAGGAAATATATTTCAGGCTAGCATTAAAGAATTAGAAATGATCAGCCAGGGTTAAAGGCAACCTCCCGAATCAAAATCGCGATTCTAATATGTCAGAAGCAAGACGTGAATCGCGTTGAATTTTTATTTTGCCGAAAATTCATATTTTTTGCAAAGGGGCATTTGTAAGTTCAAACGATACGTTCAAGAGATGTGGGGTATGTGGCTATATAGGAATGCTGCTCGTTAAAATCGATTGCAAGGAAAATATTGTCGCACGGCGATAATGGCGAAGGATGACTTTAGCGTCGCGGAATCTCGGTAACCCTTGACGACCTTTTCAAGTCTCGTGACCGAGGACGTTTGCCACGACATTGATGGGCACGAGTCTTCTTTTTTTATTTAAGCTTAGGGGAGAAGCCGTTCGGAGGTAGTTACTCCCCTTTCTCCTGGTCTTCCCGCCCTTACCACGTGTGCTTTACGAGCGAAGAAAGGGGACGTCTAACTAGGAATTCCGGAAACCCGTTCAGAAGAAATGGGCTCCTCCCGGACGAGGCTATACCGGAAACCATTACGATAATTACGGGCCACTTGGAATTCTCGACGTTCTCGATTAATGGCAGTCACCCACGAAGTCTTACGTCTATATGAAAAAGAAACCCTGAAAAGATCACAATAGGGTAAAACTCCCTTCAAGATGTATCAGAGAATTCGCGATTTCAAAGAGAAAAGAATTAATACCAAAAATGATTTATCTTACCGGCAAAAAACTGTATTTCATTTAGAATACGAGACAGAAAATTTTGCACAATTTCTGCGATCCTATATATTATGTAAAGAAAGTATTACACGATTTTGTAACGCTTACGTAGGAGTGGCAGGAATTTTCAGTCAGCCTGCGTTAAGTTGAACGAAATTCGAATATTACTCGTGACGTGCAAGTGTAACGAGGTTTAATGTCGGGAAATATTATTTCACAGGAAGTGACGTTGCGTAAAAGCGGAAGTGCGGAAAAGCTTGGACTGACCGTGTGCTACAGTTCCGGATCCGGCAGCGAGGATGCCGACACGGAAGTTTACATCTCCGAAATAGTTCCTGAAAGCCTGGCAGCTCGAGATGGTCGCTTGCGAGAAGGCGACCAGATATTGCGAGTAAGTTTGCCATTATCCGGAGTACCCTCGATAATGCCGGGACTCGAAATGTCCCCCGAAAAGGTCTTCGGTGCCATTTGCATGCCCGACGGAATCCTGCAGCATCCCCGCAAAATCGAGAGACGTCCGAAGCAACAAGTTCGCTGGCACGGATATTGTGTATGGATATAATGTTTTACATGCATGAAGAAGGTGGTGGGATGAAATATCCAATTTGAATTTGAATAATTGGGTTCTGGACATTTGGGAATTTGGTTTTCTGCCTCAGTTAAGCCGTGAAAATTATTTGGGAATAATTGTTACTCCCGTAAATAGCTCCCTCGCAAAATTGGCCCATCACAATTTTTAGTAACGAACAAATCATTAAACGCGTATTTAATTTCGTAATTATTGCAACATATTCACAATTTGACAAGTCACACTTTGGGGATTGCAGTTGAAATTAAGGAGGAATGAAACATTGCGATTTAAAGTAGGAGAAAGAGTTAATATGCTTGCTGCGTGGATGATAAGGGAGCTGTCGCGGATAGGCAGAACCTTTTGGAACTAGTAATTGACCTCTTCGCATCGTCTTAAGTTGGAACAAGTTGAAGCCGCGTAAGGTCCCCTATTTTACGATCGAGAACCGTATTTCGGATCTGAAAGCTTCGTGGTTGCCGAGTCGGAAAGTGCCGCGACAGCCGAAATGCGGAATTTGCTATTGTCGCTGACGCCTCGTTACCTTTGTGCCTCCGTCTTCACTCTGAGCCCTCCGTGATCCCATTACGTAGATTATAATTAAGAACAAAGTGGTCCAGACCTAGAGGAAATAGAAGATAACGATAACGAGAGGATTGACGCGTCGGTCTTGGAAACCGCAAACCATCATAGACAAGATCTATGACGCAGGAACCATCATGTATATACATATATTGTATGTAAACCCACTGTTTAGTAGACATATAATATATGTATAAAATGACATCCACATAACTCTACCCCATCTTGTTCGGTGGTTCTATCTTAATAATATCCAATAATAAACAAAATGAGGGTGTAAGTCTTCCTTCGAGAATTCAACATTTTCTGACATCTACTTCATGTATATCTGTACTGTATTTTTGAGTAATTACGAAGTATATTGTGCTTTCGAAATTGTTAACACCCGGCACGTAGGGAGTACTTAATACCGCCTGAAAGGTCTCCTGGAGGAAATTTTTAAAAATGATTGGAACACTTGCATCGCATGTTCGTGGTGCAACGGTGGCAGTGGTCTGTGTGCGATCTTAAGCCACGATGGGAAGCCTCTTTAGCCAGCCATGTGGGGCACCACCCTTCATAACTTGATTGAGCATTATGGCGCCCCGATGGGAGACCCTAGCGAATCCCTTATCCTCTTGCTCGATCGAATTTAACCAGTGTTACCGGCTCTCTAATCCGGATCTTGGGGTGTCGCAGTTGATTAAGCGACCGTATGGGAAATTCGCCAGCCATGGGGAAGCCTCGCTCCGTTTCTTCCCTCCACTCGCATCACGTCCTTTTATTATATTTGCCCCTTATGTGTCGCGAATTAGGATGTGCGATTAAGGGCGACGAGCCGAGATTTGACGTTTCATTCGACGACATGGTACAAGATACGTGGGAATAGGTGGGAGAATATCCCCTTTCAAGTGGCAAAATTTTGATACTTTCCCTAGGCAGTAATATTGAGTTCGCGTATTTTATGTAAATTGACAGTGCTCTACAACGGGTGTTTCTTTAGAAGGGCATTTTTTAAATCCGAACATTCGAGTCGAATTCGATATTATTTGAATGTCTTAGAATTTCAAGTGCACATAAAATATTATATCACATGATATGCATTTATATGATTTTTTTTTCTTACTTCCAGGTGAACGGAAGAGACGTAGCAAATAAAGAGCAAACCGAGAGCCTCTTCGCGGAGACGAAAAACGCCGTGACCATCCTTGTCAGTCGTTGCCTGTACCAGGTATGTCAATGGACGTTCGCATGCATCCCGTCGATGTCCTTGTCAGTAAAATCAGCGTGCAGTTTAAAAGCAAAGGAGTGTTGCCTCGAATGGGCCGTGACGAATCGTTTCTATTATTCGCCATCATCGTTGTCAATCCAAGCATCCCGAGACGTAATTGGCGAAAAGATTGACACTGCCAACATTAATAATCCCCGAAAGATCATTCGTCACGACGGGATCAAGGGTCCAGGCTCTCGCGTCAATTTGACCGACTTGACGAATTGTCCCACAGTAAAGATAGAGCGGAATCATGTCCATCGAGTATCTTGCACTCTAACAATTCCCTCGCTTCTTGTTGCAGGACGACGATTACGATGGCAGGCGTATATATCATCAGGTGATTAATTTATTGGTTGTTACTTTGACTTAACAGTCGTGTAATGGCTAAGTGCAGCAAGCCCTTGCCTCTTTCGAGTCCCACGTGTCTGCGACAGGCACTCGTAGTCTCTTGCAATTTGCATTAAATGGTGCCAACACTCGTGTCGGAACCGTGGTGCAGATTTCACGTAATCTCGTAACTAAGACTTTGCTATGAGTAAGCTGAAAATCATTTGTGATCTCCTCGATATTGCCCTTCTCCCTCCCCCGTTTCGTGTGGAATAACCGGGTCTAAATATTATTTCAGGGCTCGCCCCCCGTCTCACCGGACAACATCCCTGCCTACCAGAATAGTATGATCGAGCAGCTGATCCGTCAACAGCAACAAACGGACGACCGTACCAAAGAGATCGAATCAAACGTGTCAACCTTAAAAGCTCCACCTCCAGTGCCCTCCCACACGATCCACCAACAGACGACGAACTTTTCGACGACCTCGTCGTCGGCATCCTCGCAGAATTCCCAAAAATCGGGGAAAACTGCCACCTCGCCGGCCCACCACACGGAAGGTCGGAAACAATGGATCCAGGAAGCTGTAAAGGAGTGCACCAAAAAGGTCGAGGGCATTTGTCTGCGTTCCCAACAACCGGCACCCCTGATATCCTCCGTCAAGCTCGTCGAGGCTTACTCGAGTCACGTGTGGAGCGACACGGAGCACATCTACGAGACGATACCCGAATCCGACAGCGAGCCCATCTACTCCTCTCCATACGAGCACAAGCATTGGACCCAGGCCAATCAAGTGCACGGACAGAATCAGGCAAACCAGACCAAGGCTTGGCATTCCTCCTCGAAGAGCAACAGTTCCGGAGAGGAAAAGGACAGCTCCAGCGCCTACAACACCGGCGAGTCCTGCCACAGTAATCCTTTGACTCTGGAGCTCCATCAAGGCGAGAGAGACCATCACAAGAGCACTCTGGTGCTCTGTCCCCCCAAGACTCCTCAGCCCCAGAAACTGGGATGCTCTTGCCCGATGCCTCTGACTCCTTCCTCCAAGCCTTCCAAAAATCAGCAGTCCAAGAAGAGCTACCACCATCGCGACAGGGACCTCAATGCCACCACCTTGCCCGCGGACACGATGTACACGAACGTCGCCAATCTGCAGCAAACTATGCTGCTGCAGCAGCAGCTCTTCAAGCAGGCGCTCAACAGAAGGAACGTCACCACAAGGGAACCTGGGACCAGGAAATCGAAATCTCACGGGAACTTCCAAGCCCCAAACTTGACGCAGTATCAGTTTGTCGGTAGCCAGCAGGTTTGCACTTCTACCACGTGGATACCTCCGGAAGACAAAAGCGAGGTGCAGATGGAGTGGAAAGTCAAAAGGAGACCGGATGGGACGAGATACATTGCCAGGAGGCCTGTTAGGAATAGGATCCTCAGGAACAGGGCGATCAAGATCTCGGAGGAGAGGGCTGGGCACACGACCGAGGATGACACCATGTCAGAGATGAAGGTAAGGGTTCGTTAACTGGGTTACATATGTTCACGTAAGTCTTAAGGGACCTGCTGGGATCACGAATGTCCTAGAGATACGCCGGATGATAAAAGCGATGGACACCTCCGAAATATGTTATACAGGTTTTTAGAGATTCGGGCAAAACGTTTGCCCCTGGACCCGTAACGTCAATCTACACCTACCCTAACTCTATTCAATATGGATGTGTATAGTCTCTTCCAGTTTGTCTTAAGTCTCGCAGCAATAACCGAGTTCCCGTATCGACTTCGCGTCCCCTTAACTTATGCAAATTCATAGAACGTTTAGTTTACTTTGGACGTTACATTAATGTTGTTCTTGTCTCTTAGGTGGGGAGGTATTGGAGCAAAGAGGAGCGTAAGAGGCAACTTGAGCGGGCTCGAGAGCGCAAACAGCGACAGCAAGAGTTAATGCAACAGCAACAGCAGCAGCTGCAGTTACAGCAAAACAGTGACCTCTTGATATGCGACCACCCCGAGGAGAAAATGGCCAAGAAGCCGCTGAGTATCGTGGAGCTTAGTCATAAAAAGATGGCTCGCAAGAAGACAACTTTAGATGACTTCACGACCGTCCAAGAGATGTTGGTACATGGTAACCGGGTCGGAACCGGTGGTCCTGGCACGGGCGGGAAATTAATGGGCCTCCTTTCGGTAACCACGGTCTAAAATCGTACACAGTGCATTAATCGAAAATCGCTACATACTTAATTACAAAGAACATTCTCAAGGCTGTTGTAGGTACTATTGATAATCGAAGAAATCTGACTAAAGTCAACGAAAGCTAATAACCATTCGAGTTACATTACGATAGTAGTTAATTAACGAGCGAGTGAAGTAACTATCATTAGTGTCATCGGGAATTCGAGGGAATCCATCGTCAGTTTATCGCAAGTAATCGAGATCGGATAAAAGAATTAATCATCGTTAGGAGCATGGAAATAAAGATCATATGTATGGTATGGGTTAATGATCCAGCGCATTAAATTTTACATCGCACCGCGTTAACGGAATCGTAGGAAGGCACTGAACAAAGTGACCTACAGACAAGGAATCGGAGACCAATCTTTAATACCTTTATGAATGTAATATTACCTGCACAGTTTATTCGGGACAATTTTTCTATCGTACGATGCGAGTATACGAGTTCTGCCCCGAAGGCGTATAGGATTTTTCATTAACCTGGCCGCATCGCCGTATTTATACTTATGCGTGTTCTTTGTAACTGAAGTATCATTACCGTGTCAACGGACACCGACGTCGCGATAAACTTGAGACTTTACGAGGCGACCACCACGGCCAGTGACTTCCGTTTCGCCGTATCACGAAAAGCGGAGCATTGCGAGGAATAAAAGAAATTCCGGGAGATCCACGAACTTAATGCCCCTTAGTCTCCCTTCAATGTCTTCGTCTTTGTCGTCCCTCTCGGTGCGGTCGACGAAGGCCCTTAACGTAATAGCCAGAGGCAACGCCACGTTTCATAGACCTAGAGCATACTAAATCTAAATTATCGCAAGTCTTACGATCTAAGTTGTGAACTTACAGTAGCGACCTTGCCCATCCACTTGTAAATATTTAAGTTGCGACACAATAGCGTACGCGCAGACCGTTTTACATGAGCTAACACTTTAAGATGAAGGACCTAGCTGTAGACTTGTAGATATGTATAATAAACGTAATCGCGATCTAGCGTTAAGTATGCATGAGCGTCATATTCAATTAATCGGAAGAACTGTACAATCAAGCCCATTTTCATTTCCACGTGACGTGAGGTTTCTATGTGATCATTAATATCCGGATATATTGTATATATATACATGAATAGAATGTCTACTATTAACGAGAGAATAACAGTAACAAGAGTAACGATAACCAGCCGTCTTTTCAACTCGGTAGCTTGATATATTTTTCTTCCGTGATTCCGTAATTAGGGCGAGGTGAAGCCGAGATGGAAACACTTTTGCGCAATTGTTCCACCAGTTGAGATGATTTATCGGAAATCGTGTGCTTCTGGAGCACAATTGGTTGAAAAGAGAGGAGACCGTTGGCGTTACGAAATATCGACTTCTCGGATATGTACTGCTTCCCCTCCCTGTAATTGAAACTCCGATGTAGGCAACATTTTATCAGTTAATAGCACGTTTCACCCCGCCTTAATATATGGACCGTGGGCAAATGTTTAGCGCTCCGATTTACACACGGTGAGTCACTCGCATGTGTGGATTTTTATCGAGTTTAGTGAAACTCGCGATATCGTACACTCAGAGACTTTATAAATTCGATTGTGCCCTTTCACTGTTGTGGAAGAGTCCACAGACCAGGTAAAGGGCATGTTGGAAACTGTTTTCATAGTCATTGTTGAAAACCTAAACGAAAGAAATCGAACATCCAATTATTACCTCTTGCCTGTAACACGTCGAACGTGCAAGACGTGTAACACATCGTTGTTGAATGATGCTAAATATGGTATATCGGTGTAGAAATAAAATGTCTATAATCTAAAATGCATTTCACTATTATTGGAAGCAACCTGAAACTTCAATGCTACAAATAAATACGTGACATCTATTTATTTTATTCCGTGGTAGTTGTTTGATTGTAGTAAAGAATTTTGTTGAACGGAATGTCACCGAGGGAGTAAAAGATATCTCTTACTTTATTAAGAAATAATGATACGAAACGTGTATATGCAAGAGCAGGCTGCTTTATTACGAAACTTACAAATAAAAAGGCTGATGCATTCAATTACATTGGAATCAGAGTAGTCAAAAGTTTGCGTTCGGAAATATTCAAATGATCAACGAATGCTGGAAAGCAGTGATGACTGGAAAAGTTTAGAAGGAAGTCTCGCAAATATTGGCTCAAGTTTAGATGATAGATCGAGTCCTGTAATATTTCTGGATCCTCGTCTTCTTCGCTTTCTTCTTCAAGACCTTCGAGATCTGTGGGTGTACGTGTACAATAGCAGCAACGTGAATATAATGAACATTTAACCCTCTTATCGGGCAATAAATTAATCGATCAAATAAAAATCACTTACGTAACATATTTGTCTCATTTCCTGGATCAAGTACGTTTTGGTCGTCTGCGTCTTCGTCCTCGTCAGAGTCCTGTAAATGAAGTATTTGGTTGTTATTTTCATCTACATATTGTACTTTCTTCACTTATAAATTTTACGACATTTTCAATTGGTCTTACTTCATCGTCTTGACCGGCATTCATAATTTCCAGGTCGTTTGATAACTCATTAAGAAGCAGCTTGAAAATCTTGACGAGTACAGGTATTTCGGTCCACTGATAAGGCTGCGTTTGGGATTTACTTCGGGTCCTCACACCGTCCTCGTGTTCTGCATATTTCCGTTTAACAATTCACTTATTGATCCTAAACGAATACTGCGAACAAGAATTTTGTCGGCACGGTGCGACCTTCAAATCAAATCTACGTCTTTTAACGATAAAGAAGATTCACACTAAATAATGCAAACGCATGATGATTAGGTGACTTTTACTAAACGTTGATTTAAAATTACTATTACCTCGTCGCGATAACATGACGGTAAAATGCTCACAATATTAAGCAATTTAAGATACATGTCTCCGAACCCAAAAACTCTGATCTTAATGAAACATCGTCTGCTTTTATGTAAAATGTACTTCTTCAATCTCTTTTTCTTTACCATAAATAGAGTATTTGCAAAAATTTAAATTTATATGATAAGGTAAAACGGTAGTTTCCATGCTTTAAAATAAATTTATATAATAAAAGTAGTGATGTATAATTTACTCACAATGCTTAGCGACAAAGTTTCATTAATATCGGAGTACTTAGATCCAGGAACATTAATTTTCAGATATTGACATTACGATACACAGTATGAATAATATAATGAGAAAAACATTGAAGCCGCGACAAAAACGAACCTGTAAATATTTGATCTCCTTTAACAGTGATCTCTTTTATCCTCGAATCGTCGTGGGTAACGCCATGTTCTAGGATTTTACAAAGAGCTACCGTAGCTACTTTGCGATCGTAGTTTCCGAAAAATAAGTGTTGTCTGCTGACCCATTCATAGAGGACGAAAGCCAAGGCACTTTGTCCCGTAGGACCGGGTACGGTTGACAGAAAATTGAGTACCGCGTCAAATTCAGTATTGACCAGATGTGCATAAACCATCAACAGACTCTGCATCACCGTGAGAGTCCCTGCACCTTGCATCTTGCTAAGCACAGCCTTCAGCAAAAGATCCAGATTCTCGCCCAAAGAGCTGCCAGCTTTTCTAATTAACGTCGTCACTAACCGACCCACAAAACAGGCTGTGAATTCGCTTGACTATTGAAACAGAAGTCAGTAGACCAATATGAACCTAATAGCTTTCCAAGGGTTGTCGTAAAATAAATGATTTAGCACCACAGGATATGTAACGATTTAAATCAAATTTGACAGCACGCAGTTTAGAACGATGTCAGTTTGTAAATTTTAGTTTAGATCTAAGATTGATTTAAATCGTATATAATTCATTTAACTAACAGTCAACGTCTTTTTGTAGTCAATTCTTCACATACCCTGTGTTGTTATTATACCTGTGGATTGAGAAGTTGAGCCACTATTTGAAGTATGTATTGCATTCCAGTACGGCCTTCGTTGTCCCTATGTTCGATGACTTGGCCAGATGCAACAGAGAGATATGTTCTAATTAATTCACCACCATTCTGTAATGTTCCATTATCCTCGGAATTGAGTACGCAGTGACAAGCTGCAGGAAAAGCTGTGTCGATAAGTGCGTTACTCAGTGGCTGTGGTGAGTACTGCACAAGTACTTGAAGGACATCGAGAGCCACTCCACGACAACCCTCTGACATAGAAAATACAATTAATATAAATAATCACATCAAAAGATACGAAAACATTAAAAATAAGTCGATTATTCTAGAAACTATAAAGACTTCGTTAATTATCATATCAATCAATATCAACAGAGTTCAAGAAAGAAACTATTTACCATCTTTTGGTTTATCTACAGCCATCATACTAACGAGTGTTGGGATCAATCTGGTTTGCAGTGGACCAATACATTCTGGATTTTCTGTTAATTCCTTGAAAATATTTTTACATATATAAAAGATAACCGGGTCACTGTGAAACTTCAGAAGCACTGCTATCGTCAATGGGCAAATTTTGTTCTCCACAGAGGCAGTAAATCCTTTATCCAACTGCAAACAAAATTTATAATTTGCTTTAGTCGTCATAAGCAGAACAAGAGAAGCTTTCAATAAGCATTAACGAATTAATGTAGGCATTAATGTAGTCTCCTGTTAATCCCTTCTTTTATTTTAAATCCATGCTTATGCTAAAAATAGTTAAATATAAATTATTTAAAATAAATAATAGTCTGTTTGCTACATCAATGTTTAAAATGTTTTCTTTGTAATTGTATATACTAATTATAATCATATAATTAGTTTTTATACAAACCGAAACCAGGACCGAAAACGTCTCCATCGCAAGAGAGAGAACCTCAGTATTGGATTGACTAGCCAAATCAAAAAGTCCCTGAAATGTACTTGGTAAGTGAGAGCACAATATCTTTTTGATGGTGTTATCTTCAGACTCAGTGGCCTCACAGAACCAATACAAAGCTTTGACAGAACTAATGCGAATACAGGCTGGTTGGTTCTGCTGCAAGCCATTTACTGTCGCTTCTAAAAAACGCGAACTCATCTCTGGTGGCATTTGCTTTGTATATCTTCCACCGAGGCACAAACAACGTCCTAAGAGCAATGGATGAGCTCCTACAAAATATTTGTAAAACATTGAATATATTTTTTCCAGTAGTATTAAAATTATTACAATTTAATTCACCTGAATCATTGAGACTAGCAAGGACCACGTTATCCAGGAAGCTCACAAGATCAAATTGAAGTATTCCTTCTTGAAGTTTTTCAATAACAGCATCCTTGCAAATACTTAATGCCAGAATTGACGATTCGTAAAGTTTCCATTTGTTATTGCTTCCACTTCCATTTCCTGGTACTTGTAAATGATTTGCCTCTTCAACGTGTCTTCTTATAACTTCGCACAATGTGTTAACTGCTATGCCATCTGGTCGATTCACTAGAGCCTGTGATATTTATTTTGTGAACAAATTATTAAGTCGCGTTTCTCTATTTCTAAAGTTTGATGGATACTTACAAGTAAGAGTTCCTGAGCAGAAATGCGAACATTATATGCAGATACATATTGTTCATCTTCCTCAACGAATTGACTAGGATTGTTCGTCCAAAGCTCAATTTGTTCATCTGTGATTTGCATGAATATGATCAGGTAATACATTATTTCTTGTAACAAACTATCCAAAATGTTTGTAAACCTCTTGTAATCCAGCAATGTGTGAATAAACTCGAATATGGCAATGATCAAATTGTTGAAATTTATTATTTCACCTAGTCAGAAAGAGTAGTAATTTAAAGTCTCGAGACATTATGAAGTAAAACATTTCTTATAGCAGTTTTTAACATACCATCAGAATCTACTTCCTTATCATCTTCTTCTTCGTCACCATTTACCGTTTGCTCTTGATAAACTTTAGCGCTTTGCATTAATGTTTCCCAAATGGGTGGTAGCATTTGTTGTAAAAAGTTTGTCACATACTTAGGCAGTTTGGAGATCAAACAAGTTATAGCTTTGATAATGTCAGTTTTAAGACCGCTATCACTTGTTGGACCATTAGGCACTCGCAGGCACTGGACAAATTTTTCACAAAACATTGGAATAACGGGTTGCAAGTACTGCTGGGTAAAACCCTTTTGGTACACATCCGTTGCAGCAACTAAACTTGAGATAGTAGTGAAAATTTCAACTGCTCGTCCTCGAGTTCTTATTGAATATTGCTAATGTGCAAATAAAATTAGATATTATTAATTTCAATGATGTTGGCAAAAATATAAGCAAAGAATGAAAGAAAAAAAGAGTTATTTACATGTTCACTTTGGAATATACGATACATTTCTTGAAGAATGACAGGACCGACATTAGGAAGCTGAGTGTCTGACAAATCCCGTGTGAACTCTGTCAAAACTCTCATAGCACCATGAACTGCAAATTCACTGTCACCACTTAAGCAACTGACCAGTATATCGAAGAGACCTGGCCAATTTTCTGGCCAATCCCAATGCGCTATTGCTGATATCGCATAAGCCACTGCAGTTCTTACCTATGAAAAGAATGACTTCATACATGAACATTTTAGAATATCGTCATTAAGCAAGGGAGCATTATCGTACTTTACTAATTGATTCCCGAAGTCCAAGAGGTAATAACTCTTTGATTTTCTCTTTTGTACCGAGCTTCAATTCTGGAGGTCGAAACTTTTCCGATAGGTGAGTCCAATGTGTCTGTACATATTGTTTCAGTAAGACAGAAGCCAGCTGTCTGATAGGTAATTGACCATTTGGATCAACGACAAACTCGGTTAGATGAATTCCAAATTCTTCTGTAACTTCCAATGCCTGTACTCTCTGCTCTGCAGCTTGGCGAGTGTCACCATGTGCCGAGAGTATTCCATTTAAAGTCTCATACAAAGCCTCTTTTAAAGATCCTTGTACGTCACCTGAAGCCATGCTCTCTGCCCTTATATACTATTTAATGTCCCATGAATACCTAAAGATTAAATGTCTATTAAATCGATATATTACAGCATACTTAAATGCGAACTCGTTTGAGCAAGCCATCACATAAAAGAATAAACATAATTATACTTCATGTAATTTTATCAACCTGATAAACATTATCCCAGCAAACTAAATCTTATTTTTTCTGGTTTTGACATTCAGGTCATTTAAAACATATCAATAAAGCTATGAGAATTTCTTCCATATACAAACAATATCAGTAATCGATAAAGCGATACAAAATCAGTGAGGAAAATCTGTGAAAGTTCTTAACTTCTATTACAATTTATGTTTGTTGGCCTTACCCTTTACTTCCTAGAAACCCGGTAATTGCGACCCCTTAAATTTTTTAGGTTAAGTTCAACTGACTACCATAAAATCTCCCAACAACTCGCAATTTATAAAAACAGAATATTCATGCAATTAACAAGAGATTACTCAATTCCCAAAAAAGTTAAAATTATTAAATGTCACATAATACATTTCGTAGCACGAGTAGTAGGTATGACACGTCGATTCCTTTTCAGGTATCGGCAACACGGACGTACCATTCAATTACGGAATAAAGTGGCCAATTAAATGCTTATTTTACTTTAACCAGACAAAACGTTCAGATTTCTTCAGCATTCCACGCGACATTGACACTTTCTACAAAATAATGATACAAAAATGCGGGAATTCAAAGGAAATAGTCATACCTTCCTGCGTTCATCTACTGATTTCCGGTCATCGCTGTCGTCTGCTTTGGCATGTATTACGATATGAACTTTAAAAGCTGTATACAGCAATGTTGTTAATCCGTAAATTACCCGATTATTTCAAGAACCAATTTGACCAATCGGAATACTGTATTGACCTCTGTAAAGAATTAAAGTAGCTTATATATTTTGCGCGGCGTCGTCTACTATCAAGGGGAGGCATCGTATATATTTTTTTATTATTTATTAAATTTTACAACGTTAATAACAGGTAAATTACATGAAATGTTATCTGAAAGAAGAATTGTACCCGAGATACGTTTGATCCTAAGTAACTACACTTTTTTTTCAAATTCAATAGTAGGGCTGAACCATTTGTTGACCATAAAGTGAAAACCTATCTGAGATTCATCAAATAAAAAAAATGGATGAAACGAAAAAGAATCATAATCAACAGTTGTTAATGTAGTTCCTGAACCCTCTCAATCTTAATATTAATCGCTGGCATATAATTATACGATCATGTAACGCGTTTACCTTATTTCTGTCAATAAACTAAAATGACACTTTTCTTAAAATTTAGTATGTACGGCGAAATTCTTAAAAATATATTAATACAGAAACAACACGGTATCTATTACATTTCTAACTGTGTCGTTAAATCTAATGTTACAAGGATAATATGTGTCAGAATATAATAATTTCAGAATAACCAACTTGACAATATCTGAAAAAAAATGAAGTTTAGGAGATAGTATTTAGACAAAAGATAATTTACGCCTTTGTTGGAGATTTACGGAAGAGGAACTTCTAGCTGATTTTTGAGACCAGTCGGAATTATGTTCGTTGTCACTTCGTTTCTCATATAATATGCGAGGTCCCATCGGGATTTTGAAATGTTCTGAACGTAGGACGGACGGAACGAAACGACTTGATGATCCTGTGGTATTGCAGCTTTGAGGCGTAAACTTTGAGTTTAAACTGGACCTAGAGGAATTAAAAAAGATGGTTAAAGATAAAATACAATTTCTATTGATATTTTACAATTCATAAAAAATACTAGCTGAATTGGAAAATCGGTAACAAAACGTATCACATACCGTGTAGATCCTTCAGTCGATCCCAACAAATTAATCGGGGTCTGATATTTATTGCCAGAATTCGGCTTATTTTCGTAAGCATTTACTTTTCTCTGCAATTCTGTGCAGACAGCCTTCATCTGTTTGCACTTTTCTGCCAGGGCTTTAATAAAACTCTCCCTATGCCAGTATTCTGCCTTCATAACATTGTATTTTTGTTCCTTTAAATAATAAAAACGTTACGCTAACACTAAATACTATTTGTAATTATACACAGATCCATTTAAACAAAGGAAGTTAATTAAGGAATTATATTCATTAGTAGCAAGATATTATTGGATACAACATTTTTAGCATGATGATGAATAAAAAAGGCATTTGGATGAATTTTATATCATATTAATACACATATAAGGGTCATGTATTCAATCTTAGGAAACACGGCTTAGAAAAATGTTTTGGAACTTACCAATCCCTCCAAACGTTGTTTTAAAATAGCTTCTTGTTTCATTTGAAATTGCGAAACTTGTAGCAAACGTGCTAAGGTATTAGTGAGAGGCTCAAAATAATGGGCGAAATCGCATTGTACGGGATCTTGTAAAAGCAGTATTCGTGGCGCAATACGTGGGCACTGAAGGCATTGTTTTTCAACTGTATTAAGAAAATTGACAATGCATTTAGTGCTTAGTCAAGTTATAAATATTTGTTTAAATATCAATAAATAATACCTAGCAATCTGCATTTTGCACAGTACAGATGGCCACATTGAGTTAAGAAAAATGGTCTATTTTTATCCCCTCTGAAGCTTATGTAGCAGTGATTACAAATAAAGTGTATCATTTCCGCCATCTATGTCAATAAACAAGATACAGATATTGATTTACGGAATTTTACTTAAGCAGCGGAATTTTATAACAACAGTGATTACGTCGGAATATAAATTAAGTAATAAAAACTTTATTACATTTATAATTTATCGCTAGAAATAAATATGGAAGCTTCTAGAACGTTCTACTACATTCACATTTCATCCATGAGATCGGAAACTCCGGAATTTAATATAAATAACACATGGTGTAATTTATATGATTTAGTCAAAATATCGAATAACATTCGTTCTAAAAATCTTGAAGTAAAGTCGTTATATGCGTAATTTACTTACATTGTTTAATGGGCTTGTGGTAGTCGGAATTTTAAATTTCAAGGAGGATGAATGTGATTTCCGGATGGACGGTTGACATGGATTGAGGAACGAAGGGAGTAAAATTTCAGCTTTTCTTACAAGACTGTACAACGTAAGATGGCTAATACCCCCACCCTTGAAACTTCCCTCTTCCGTGCTTAGTGTTACCAACCCCACTATTTTACTCCCTTTCTTCATTCCTCAATCCGTGAAAACCGTCCATCCGGAAATCACGAATTCATCCTCGTTAAAATTCAAAATTCCGACTACTACAAGTTCATTAAACAATGTAAGTAAATTACGCATATAACGACTTTACTTCAAGATTTTTAGAACGAATGTTATTCGATATTTTGACTAAATCATATAAATTACACCATGTGTTATTTATATTAAATTCCGGAGTTTCCGATCTCATGGATGAAATGTGAATGTAGTAGAACGTTCTAGAAGCTTCCATATTTATTTCTAGCGATAAATTATAAATGTAATAAAGTTTTTATTACTTAATTTATATTCCGACGTAATCACTGTTGTTATAAAATTCCGCTGCTTAAGTAAAATTCCGTAAATCAATATCTGTATCTTGTTTATTGACATAGATGGCGGAAATGATACACTTTATTTGTAATCACTGCTACATAAGTCTCAGAGGGGGTAAAAATAGACCATTTTTCTTAACTCAATGTGGCCATCTGTACTGTGCAAAATGCAGATTGCTAGGTATTATTTATTGATATTTAAACAAATATTTATAACTTGACTAAGCACTAAATGCCCTGTCAATTTTCTTAATACAGTTGAAAAACAATGCCTTCAGTGCCCACGTATTGCGCCACGAATACTGCTTTTACAAGATCCCGTACAATGCGATTTCGCCCATTATTTTGAGCCTCTCACTAATACCTTAGCACGTTTGCTACAAGTTTCGCAATTTCAAATGAAACAAGAAGCTATTTTAAAACAACGTTTGGAGGGATTGGTAAGTTCCAAAACATTTTTCTAAGCCGTGTTTCCTAAGATTGAATACATGACCCTTATATGTGTATTAATATGATATAAAATTCATCCAAATGCCTTTTTTATTCATCATCATGCTAAAAATGTTGTATCCAATAATATCTTGCTACTAATGAATATAATTCCTTAATTAACTTCCTTTGTTTAAATGGATCTGTGTATAATTACAAATAGTATTTAGTGTTAGCGTAACGTTTTTATTATTTAAAGGAACAAAAATACAATGTTATGAAGGCAGAATACTGGCATAGGGAGAGTTTTATTAAAGCCCTGGCAGAAAAGTGCAAACAGATGAAGGCTGTCTGCACAGAATTGCAGAGAAAAGTAAATGCTTACGAAAATAAGCCGAATTCTGGCAATAAATATCAGACCCCACTAAATTTATCAGGATCGACTGAAGGATCTACTCAGTATGTGATGCGTTTTATTACCGAATTTCGAATTGTTCGATTCAATTTTGATTGTATTTTATCTTTAACCATTTTTTTTAATTCCTTCAGGTCCAGTTTAAACTCAAAGTTTACGCCTCAAAGCTGCGATAATACCATAGGATCATCGGGTCGCTCCGTCCCGTCCGTCCTACGTTCAGAACATTTCAAAGTCCCGATGGTATCTCGCATATTATACGAAAAACGAAGTGACAACGAACATAATTCTGATTGGTCTCAAAAATCGTCTAGAAATTCCTCTTCCGCGAATCTCCAACAAAGACGGAAATTCTCCTTTGTCTAAATATTATCCCCTAAACTCCCTTTATTTAATTATCACTAAGTTATTTGTTATCGCATTATTATATTTGACATACAGTATCCTTGTAGCATTAGTTTTAACCACCCAGCTAAAAATGTAATAGATACCATGTTCTTTCTATATTACTATATTTTTAGGATTTTCGCCGTACATTCAAAATCTTTAGAAAAGTATCATTTTAGTTTATTGACTGACATAAGGTAAACGCGTTACATGATCATATAATTATATGTCGGCAATTGATATTAAGATTGAGAAGGTTCTAGAACTACAGTAAATAATTGTTGATTATCTTTCTTTTTCGTATTTTTTTCGCAATTTATCTTTCAGTTAACATTTCTTATAATCTTCCTGTTATTAACATTGTAAAATTTAATAAATAATAAAAAATATATACAATGTATCCCCTTGATACCAAACGACGCCGCGCAAAATATGTACCTGATAGGAAAGGCTTATACCTGAAAAGGAATCGACTAGAAAAGAATATTCTGTTTTAATAAGTTGCAAGTTGTCAACAGATTTTATGGTAGGCAGTTGAATTTAACCTAAGAAATTTAAGGGTTCGCAATTATCCGGTTTCTTTATGAAATATCAACCATAGATGGGACCGCGTGTGTGTAGTTCCCACTTCTTCGTACGAGGGCAGCACAGATAGACGGACAAAATGGGTCTCAGAACACTTGTCTTATTCATGTTTATGGTTAGGGACTTAGAAAGATAACATGTTAAGGACCATGTGGTCGGTATGATTAGTGCGTTAATAATTTTAAAACCGTTTTACATCTATACGTACTTTTGAGATAGAATGTCATTTTTTATAAGAAATAGCCGAGGTGGCGGACCACAAAAAAGAAAGGTATTTCCAAATATTTTAAAAAATGTACATTAATGTACATGAATTTGGTGGTTATCCCTGTTTTAAATCTAATAGCGCGTGTAAATTTTGCAAACTGCTATTGATTAAATCATTTTTCAATGTGCTTACTTTACCTTGTTATAATTTTATGTATTTAAATGGAATTTACTTTCTGTGAAACTGAATTTCATGGATAAAGTACATGTTTATGTAAAAATATTAATTTTATGGTCTTTCTCTAGTACAATGGACATGTAGATAAAAGTAAATCAAAAGGATCTACTGCAAAGTCTAAAACCAAAAGTAAGCGAAAAGGTATTCCGCATGATGAAGAAAGTATCGCCAGTAGTGATGAAGAATTTGCAGAAGAAAAACAAAGGTCAGATATTAATACATAATAGATAATTATATATTAATTATTTATTACTTAATATAAAATTATAAGTGGTAAATATTTTTATAGAGAAAAGAATGATGATTTGGAAGAAGAATCAGAGGATGAAGAAGAAACAGCTCAAGAAAAACGATTACGATTAGCTAAGAAATATCTTCAAGAAATTGAAGAAGAAGGTTAGTTAAAAACAATATTGTTAAGTCTAATCATTTTAAGGTTAATAAATATTTATGTCAATACCAATTATTACAGAAAAAGATCGAGCTGAATTCGAACAAGGTGCAGTTACAAAGAGGTTGCATGAAAAGTACTTGGAAGATAAGGGAAGATTACGAAAAACAGTAGCAAGTAATTACACTGGTCACAAAGACGTAATAGTATTGCGCTGTAAAGACCATAAAGATTCAGTCACGTGTTTATGTATTTCCAGTAATGGCAAGTTTATATATTCAGGGTCCAAAGATGGTACTTTAGTTAAGTGTACGTAAGCTACAGACATTTAATTTCCAATCTAGCCTTAATGGTACTTAATTACTTAAAAATGAATATTATTTTATAGGGTCTTTAACTGATAGGAGTAAGTTAAAAGTTGTTAAAGGAAAAGGAAAGAAACAGGATGGCATGAAAAATGTAACCTGTGTTGCCATCAGCACTGATGGAAAATTTTTGGTTAGAAAACTTATTCTTACTGTAAATGGCATTTTTCACATATGCAGGCATACTACTAGGAGTTGATATTAAATATTATTTATTTTATATAGGTAGTAGGACACAGTGGATCCAAGGACATAAAAGTATTCTCTGGAGATGATCTGAGTCATATAAAGAATCTGCAGCATCATAGAGCTCCCGTAACTGGTTTAGTGTTTCGCAAAGAAACCCACACTTTATATTCAGCTTCAGAAGATCGAAGTGTCAAAGTTTGGAATTTGGATGAAATGGCTTACGTTGAGTCATTGTAAGCAGAAGTATCCTTCATAGATTATAATCTTGACCTAATCATGTTACTGAAATGATTATTTTTATTGTTAACTTTTAGATTTGGTCATCATAGTAGTATTACATCAATCGATGCTCTTGCACGTGAGCGAGCTATTACAAGTGGTGGCTTTGATAAATCCTTAAGAATATGGAAAATTGTCGAAGAGTCTCAATTGATATTCAATGGCGACGGTGGGAGTATAGATGCCGTTAAACTTATAAATGAAGAAAATTTCCTTAGTTGTGGTGCGGATGGTCAATTATGCATATGGGGCTGCCTAAAAAAGAAACCTCTATGTTCTGTACAAGACGCACATGGAAAGGATGAAACTAATGGGGAACCCATGTGGATTTCAAGCATAACCGCTTTACTTAATACAGACTTAATAGCATCAGGTAAATAGATTTGACTTACTCTGTACAACACTATTTTGTTTATGATTATCTCATGAATTATTTATAAAATACAATTATAAATCGTAGCATCTATTTTAGGTTCCAACGACGGTGCTATACGATTGTGGAAGTGTGGTGACTCGTTCAGAACATTAACGCCTCTGTTTGAAATCAAAGTGACTGGCTTTGTAAATTCTCTCGCTTTTACTCCAGATGGTAATCACCTCGTTGCCGGTATTGGACAGGAACATAGGTTAGGAAGGTGGTGGCGAATACCCGAAGCAAGAAATAGTATTATAATAATTCCACTGATCCAACAAAAATCCGATAATTAAAGTGTCGTTTTTATGCCATTAAAATTTACTGCTTAACCGTTATCATTCATTTGGAGCTCAAATGAGACGAATCATCCAGATTCTTCCAAGAATGGAAGGAATGCACTAATAATGTTATTAAATAAACTGTATAGTTTTTAAAAATAACAAATGTACAGATCAGCGAAGAAAAAAAGAATGTCCTATTAAAAAGATAATTGTTTTGCATACTTCATTTGTTATCGTATACATATACATCTGACCTAGGTCTCCTAGTTATCTAAAACAGGATATTTTAAATATTTGTATATAACTACCACTTCTATAAATTATCTTGTATATCAATCAAAACGTTTCTTAGGAATAAGAAGGAATACTATTAGAATAGGATTGGGGTTAAAGCCGAAAGCAAATGTGCGCATAACCGAAACTTCAAAGTTTGACAATGAAATGAAAGAAATATTGGTCCACAGTACAAGTATTTATTTATTCTGTACAAAAGTTGAGTTATAAAATATTATGTCCCATTGTAGGTCTTGTTCTTAGTCTTGTATACCATACCATCTTCAGTTCGTTCGTATAACAACAATATGCCGCACGGAACGCACGTGCGTACAAAGAGCGATGGTTGAGCCTCTATATACCGTCTAGACGAGGGATGTCGAACCTCTCCTTTTCCCGTTTAATTTCTACCTAAATGACATTTCTCATCGTACTCGAAATTTCATGATCGATGTCTTTGTGCGTACACGTGCGTCCAGTTGCTCGCGCCTTTATCGGCTCGCTGCACGTACCGCCAAACTACTTCTCACGTTTAGCCACGTTAACAATTAGTACAATAAGTATTTTGTTTCCTCGTGCTTCGTAAAATTTCAAACGAGTGTATAGACCTTGGGTTGGGCAGCCGCGATCCGGCGATGCCCTTTAGACCGTGAAACGGGTGCTCTTTGGTGCTCGCTTCAACAAAATCAAATAATTCGTTCGCCTTTTGTTCTCTGTCGCTACATCCCCTATTTTACAAAGATCCGCGTACGCATTCCCAATAATCATCGTGCTCCGAGAGCCCCTCCACGGAACACCGTTCCTCGCTTTCATTTGCCAAAAAACGTGCGAGAAACACCGTGAAACTGAGAGAGGTATTCGCCATCTCGGAGGCTCCTATCCCATCGAGTCAAAGTCAGACTTCGAATTTGACAAAATCCAAATTAATGCACATTTTATGCTCATCCGAAATATCTCCATGATATACATTAGTTTTTGGCAAAGCCGAAGACGCACTACACTTGGATTTCGCCAAATTCAAACGAAATCGATGAAAACCTTCTCCTTATCCCACCACGTTATCACTCCACTCTGATATCGTTAGATTCTTTTAAATGTTCGAAAACCTAAGGAATAAGGTTTTTCTTTTCTGATTCGGAGACGGTAGTAATATACTCTAAGTACTTTATATGTATCTTTTGTCTGGAATGTATCATTGTCATTTTATTTATGAAACGTTTGTCTCCACTGTCTTCCGATATCTTATTCCTCAAATTTTCGGTCCGCCATCCTCTTCGTGTCTCGTTCGATTTATTCGTTACACATGCATACATGAATGTGTGTACGAAGTTAGTGTTGTTAATTGATCAGCATCGAAAGTTTCGTTCTTTGTATTTTCAACCGTGCATTGATGTGCACCGTGTTCGTGAAGACCACTGAAATACGTCTCCACTTTTAACAACTCGAGTTTCTTATCATTCGATTTTATAGGAATTCTTTCAATGGGTCTCGTTGTCGGGAAACCATTTGGTTTATTTATATTAAAATTCTTACGTGAGCGGGCGACGAGACATTCCGTTATTTTCGGATCTTGTTAACAAGTGAAGTTGTCCAAAGTCGCATTTTCTGAGCTTAAGCCTAATTGACTCCATGTTTCAACTAAATTTCAATTAACTTCACCCGCACAATCAAGTTTTTTAAAGGATTGCGTCATCAATACGGATTATCGTTGTCAGTGTAAAAGAAATCCAAGCGAAACAATTACGGGTCAGTCGATTAGAGCATATATTCATTTTCTGCAAACATTCGTACAAATTAAGTATTTACGAACAAAGTGAGAGACTAAAGAGCTCAATTTTTCGATAAATGCGGAGTGTCGGGAAAGTCATGGCCACTTGTACGTAGGACAAGAATTGCAATTCTCTATGACTGGGCTAAATATTGACTAGAATTCCAGTCGAGATAATTTTGCGCTTTTCAGTCTTCCGAGTACGGATGGCATCGCCTGATAAATTAGTCATGAAATTTCCCTAGAGTATAAAAGTTACCAATGAAGCTGATTATGGAAAAGGTATAGTCATTTTTAACATCAAACACCTGTAAAATGCAATTTCAGGCCATTTCGATAGAGAAAATCTCTTTTGGCGTTATGTCAACTGCAGTTGTTTTGCATCGCTTTTTTATTATAAATGCAATTGCAAACACAGAAGATAATGCTAGGCTTCTGAATGTTTCCATTTCTTTTCTCTTTAACCTAATCGAGCAAGTCTTGAGTCCGAAATCTGAAATCGAGATTGCAAATCATTTTTTTTTCGATGTCACAGAAGACAATTCAAGGAATTCCATTGAAATCATTGCAAAGAAATTACATTGTTAGGGACTGTAAATGTACTTTTCTCGAATATGAAGAACAATCGTTTGATGTACAATTCGCTCCTATTACCAATTATAAATTTACACAGAACTTTTGATATAGTACGAATATCGTTTTCTCAAGTAAAGAAAACATTGAATCAGGAACGAAGTTGAATTGAAAAGTTTTATTCAATCACATTTTCATTTCTTACTATTCTATACACAAACGTCGATTTTATCAACGCACAATTTGTTCGAAGTTTAATACGTTACGTTTATGTCCCTTCTTTTTTTTTTCCTTCCTTGTAATGACCTTCCAATGAAAATATAAAAAATGTCTAATCATTGTGGGTTTACAAATACATTTTGGGGCTTAAGATAGTGAACGGAATAAATACAAGTTTCCCATTTTCAGAGTTAATGATTCATATTGACTTCGTTCCTGATTTAACGAGATATGACTATTATATAAAACCTCCAATGAAATCGAATTGACTGCACGGTACCAAACGAAGGCACGTCTTTCAAATAATTAAAGAGAAGCCTTCAACTTGCAAATTAACGGTATACAAGTGTTTAAAATGAATTTCTTGTACCAGTACGATGTACCTATTACCCATTGATATCGTTTCGCGTATTGCTAGACAATTAAAGTTCACATGTCGCCCATTATACATTTGAGAAATTAGAAACTCACTGCAAATTCAGTAAGGTCGATTTTGAGGAAACAATTGAATGTTGACTTAACTTTATGACTAGAATTTTTATTTAAATATCGAACATTTTGCCTTAATAAAGAATACTTTTTCTAACGTACTCGACAGGAACTAACGAAAACAGAATATTCCGTAACGCGTGCTTATTAGCTCTGTAGTTGACATGTATTTTCCCCATTTCCCAAATTTGTAATGAGCTCATGTATTGCAATTTTTTCCTTCTACGATTTCCTTTTCTTTGTTTCAGGGCGAGCTCGGAAGCGCGGCTCACGCGTGTACAAAGCGCGTACGCGATGTCAATGTCTCTCGCGTGTCTCGTTGCGACGAGTGTGATTGTATGCATTGTATGTATGTACGTGTGTACGCTTGTGAATGAAATGTTGACCTTGGTAGTAAGTATGTACGGTTAGCTGTAATTTGATCCTGTTTCCTTTTTGTTTCAATTGTGTCGCATGTTTTTATCCAGTAAATCCTTAAGTACTATTTCGCTACAATGGACTATCATATGAACTCTACACTACTTTGTATTAATCATGTATGAGACGTACTGTGTGTGCATACGTGGGCGCACGCAATCTATAGAGTTCGTCCGAGATACGCAGTCCCTTCCACTCGAAGACGACGTCAATTTCATGAAATTTGGACAAATTTATCCAAATTCCAATACGGGTTGGCAAGAAAAAAAAAATGTATATCCAGGCTTCCGTTTCCATTGTGATTACGCTTACGTGCTGTTAAAAAAGGAACAAGACCCTTTTTAGTTCTTCGAGTCGACAAGAAATTATTTTTCAACGGTAACATTTCTTTCCATTCTAAAAATCCTTTATTATGAATTCGCGTCCGTAATCATGAAAAATATACAGATAAGACGTTTTTTCATCCATGACTTTCTGCCTGCAGATACCCACAAGATACTGAAATTACTAATTACCCGGATATCCAGTCGAAATTATGCCTATCTGTACAGCGCAGTGTTTTATGCAAGTTACGAAATATATATATACTGGATTTCTGTTCTTCGGTTTATATGTACATGATAACATGTAGAATGTCGATTCGTTATGCGCGTTATACAATTTCAAGAAAATTAATTAACAGGAGAAAATAATTCGGAGCCTTCGTCTTTACGAAATAGTAGCAGCACATTGCGGACAAATTAATTGTAGTAATTTTATTTTATTGCAACGACGAAAGAGTGGCAAATGTTCGCGTCAAAAGGTTCCTGGGTCAAATCTTGATAGACCAAAAATTCTCGATAGAATTCTTCGCAAAATATTGACAGTTAGTGCGAGTTAATCCACGCAAGGCTAGAGGAATTGTAACGGCATTGATAATTAAAGAACTGGCTATAAAACTCATCGTAAACGAGGGAGGGCCCCGTAAATCTCGGAATGACGAACGTATTTCATGTGGATACCGATTAAAATAATACCTTATGCAACGTGAGAGAGAATTCGTGAGCTGGCTAAGTGTGGCTGTATTGACGCTCTCAGTTAATTAGTAATTGTGTGTGTCGGTTATTAATAATAATCATAGGTAATAATAATCACTTTGTGTTCCATGTTAAAAATCTTGGACATCAACGTACATTCACTTTTATAATAAATCGTTATTAGAAACCTATTTCATACTTACTATGTATTTTATATAAATTTCATCGTTATCATCGTTAATCGTTATGTACAAGTTGTCTACGAATCTCTGTTTTTTTTCCACTTTTCTTTAAGAGTACGCACTGTTACTTATGGTAGAGATATTACCTTCGGCCTCGGATACATACGGAAACCGAAATCAAAGGCTCCAGAGTACGCGCGGATGCGCATTATTATTATTCTTTTCTCTTTTCTTTTTTTTTTTTACGGAGAAGACTGACCCCCTTGGCTTTGCTGTAGCAGATGTAAGATTGTGAGTCGAAACGAAAAACAAACGTAGAAAATCGAGGAGCGAAAATAAAAAAGAATGGGAGCGGCGGAGTGACGGGACTTCCAGGGTGTCCGACAGTAAAAGCGCACTGCGTGGTAAATTTTCATTGCGACACGCCAAGATAAATTGCTGCACTAGATTTTCAATAACAAAGTCGGGATACGAATCCTTTTCAGTCACCGGTCAATAAAATCGTTTGAATAAATGCCGTTCGAAAAGTGTCCTTCAAACTTTTGAAGAGCCTACTCTTCCTAAGTTAAACGGTATAAATATAAGAAGTAACTAGTTGGACTATTTCGTTACTTACAATTAGTCAGTCATTAAGTCTTTCTCGGATGCACGGCAGAACTGAATGAGAAAAGTTCCTCGAGGCTATCGGTCAATGCAAATGTCAACTGTGTAAATGCCAATGCCATTTTCCATTGTATTAAAAAAATGAAGTAAATGAGATGGCTTTTCTGGAACGTAGTTGCGATCGACCCTTGGATAAATAATTTAAGGCCACGAGATTTTGAAATACCTTTCGTTGAGTGTATGGAATTGTATATTATTCAGCGCTCGTATGGTAAGCTTTGATCTTGATTACGTCGGGATTCGTGCAAACGATGTGCAATGAAAACGTCATACAAAGTGTGCTCCAAAGTCGGCAAAATAAATCGAGAGGGATGTATGCGGGTGAACGTAGGCAATAAAAAATCAAAGAAAATTAATTGCAGTGAGTGACCTTGTCTATTTTCTATCGGTAGTTCGTGTCTAAATTATTGTTATACTGTATTCATCTATCGTCCGGGTGAATGAGTACCATTCACGTGGATGTATGTACCACGGCTGCATCGCTATCGGATTCAAACACAATACCAGCGGATTTTTCCTTTTGCGACTTTCGACGACGCAATTAAGTGTTAACGAAAGGCGCACCGCGTCGTCGATATTCCCGAATTCTGCGAGATTTTGACGACTCGGCGAGAACGCCGATCATGTACAATGGCGGACATGAATGCCTCCCCTGCAGATACGGCATCGCCTGTGCAGGATGGGAGGGCATTGATGTCTCCCAGTGTACGTGCTATCGCTTGCTTATGGGTTTAGAACGGTTACACATGAAAACGAGTTGGCCGTCGAGAAGTACGTCGTTTCGAGAAACTAAAAATCGCTCCTTGCAGCTTCCCTTACGATAACTCATGTGATATGCGCGCCTCGAAGCCTCGCCGTTTCTTCCTCGTCGTTCCTTCGGTATCATTTTCCCCTTCGACTACAAGACTTTCTACCGGTTGAAAAAATACATTTGTTACACGGAAGGTAGTGACGTACTTTCCCCTAAATATCCTAGACGACTTCGCTAGTCTTTTCTTTCTTTTTTACAAAGGTTTAGTCGAGTACTCCTATTTAAAACGGATGGACCGTGAGGCTTCGAGTGCGAGGACTCTCGAAGAAACGAGGCTGAAATCAGGATTCTTAATTACATACTCGATGTTCGCGTCATCCGGATATTTGATTATTCGAGGCAAGTCCAGCATGTCGGGACTACATCGCTCTAATTTTTGGGATAAGATGAGGAACTGCGCGTCTGCGTCTGGGTACCACGTCCTGTTCCTAGCCGCGAATCGCTGCTTCACCGTCGAACCCTGTACATCACTGTGTCGCTGCACGATTTAAATAAGATCTATCACGCGTAATCAATGAAAACACCCGAGGCGTGGAACCATGAATCGATCACAGTTGAATAATCGAATATCCGGATCGTCCGAGTCCTCCTAGTCGAAAGCACTCGAGAAACCGCGACTAAGACGACGACGACGTAGTACCGACGTCGTTCCGACGTCGTCGAAGGGCATTCAGTCTATTTATGTAAGTCTTCGGATCTCTCGGGACAACCCTTTCGGCAGTCGCCCTCGTCATAATCGAGAATACATCGAGCACGTCACCCACCGCGAGTGGCAAGCGACTCGGGGAAGTCTTAAATACGCGTTTCGAAACAGAGACGTACGACCGGAAGGACACATGCACGGTCGAAGAAGAGATTAACCGATCGCATAGCGACGCGTCAATACGTTGCAGTTAAACTAAAAACGAACGGTAAACAGGCACGCGAACAGACGGACAAACAGACGTGGGCTGGAGGCATGTAATACTTAGGCTTACAATACTGTAATGGATAACATTATACACGCATCTTCCCTTCTCGTCGTTAACGGATCGCAGTCGTTCGTTCGCAACGCGACGTAGGAAGTGGTCACTGTAACGCGGAATACCCGGTAATGCCATTGCCGATTTTCGCATGGATTATCTCATCCGCGGCGGATGAGAAGTCGTGCGTTAAATAACGGAGTTCTGAACGAGGATCTGTATCGAATCGCGCAGGCAGTTCAATTTCTATGTACAATTTCTATCACTTAATTGCCGACGAGAGTCAATGCTTCGCTCGTCCGGCCACCGTGCCTCGTCGTGCCGATGCACGATGTACGGTTGTGCACGTAAATTAATGTCCGCGTTGCCGGTAGAGGCATGTACACGAATAAGAAGAACGAACGCGCGTAACGGACCGATGAGAAAATGATGCGCTCGGATACGTGTCTGCGGAAAGAGTGACGTCGATGACAATAAATAAAAAACGTATAAAAAGGTTACTACGTAAACGTCGGCGAGACGGATCTAGATCGAGCGGCCAATTCGCGGGTAGAAAACGTTTTGACGTCAATGAAAACGCAAGGTCGGCTTAGCGGTAAAATACTTTTTACGCTTTTCTCGTCAACGGAGAAACGATAGGCGAGGAGAAGAGACCGCTCTCGTCGTGCCAGCGAGTCTTCGTCCTCCTCGGTGGAATTAATTTCTATCAAATTTGATATCTCTTTCACTAGTCGTAGAATATCGTGTTGAATATTCTTAGAGTCTANAAATATAATACAGATCTATAGATAGCGTTTAATATGGTACAACTATGATACAGATTTCGCTCACGAACCGCGCCGTATCTTCCTAACCTATGTCGTCTTCGGTAAGAGAGACTTACGCCGACTTCGATTCGATCTGGACCGCGTTTCGATTGGCACGGAGAGGACTCTAAGTCGTCCCCGGCCAGTCGTCTCGCCCCTGGTCTTCGAACTAGTTAATCGGCTATTCGATGCAATTGCCAACCCAATTGATCGGTCGACAATAGCAGAAAATAACAAATCATCGACGTCAACGGCGCGTCCACGACCGTCGAATGGTGCGAGTTCTCTCTTCGAGGGTGTACTTTCACGTCGCGTGTACAAGAATTTTTCCCTACTTCGTCCTTTAAGATCCACGTCACTCGCATTCGCTCTCCTTTCTCTCGTCTCGTCACTCTCTCCCTCTCGTTCTCGCTGGCGGCCAGAGGCCACTTGTACATATTCATTTAGGAATTTATTTACACGCGTGCTAACTATCTTGTCGCGACTGGATCGCGCAAGCTGAGCGGTCCCGCGACTGAGCGCGGACTCTCGCGCCCGAGGGGAGCATTCAGCTTGGCGAATGCTCTTCCACATCCCCCGGAGTTTCCTTAAACCTCCACCGTATCCCTCCACGGAGGTCCAAATCGGCGCACGAGCCACGGAACGGATGCGCTCGCGGTTACTCGCCTATTCGACAGTCTTATGTACAACAACGAGCGCTCGGCGAGCGCAGTGAGCGAAGTCGCGCGGACAGGCACGAAGGAGAGCTCGGAGGAGTCCCGGGATCTTTTCGAGCATTTCCCCAGGGATCCGATGCTCTCCCTTTCGCGATCCTTCGCCAGCTTCGGGTCCTACTTCGGAGTCGCGGTTAAGGGGGCGCTCCTCCCCTCGCCCAGCGTACGCTGTAAATCACAGAACATTTTCGTCGGCACCGCGAAGCCCTCGATCCCGGTCTCTCGTTCCGCGTCAATCATCGACCCTCGATTCTTCCTCTATCCCTAACACCTCGATAAAGCGAACCGTGCGAGTCGTGCGCGGGGCCGAGTATCGGAGGACCGCGGTCTTAACAACGAATTAACGCTAATTCGCCTAACGCGCGTCCGAATCGCTGGATCGCGAGATCGCAAAGTCGAGGCGCCGTGGTCTCGCTCGAGGATACTTAGCACGCTGTCTCTCTCTCTCTTTCTTTTTCCCTCTTTCTCTCGTCCGACGTATTTCGAATAAATAGCTAGTATTAGCGTTTAATAATAAGAAGGACAACCAATACGACTACCGTGTAGTAGTGATAATAGTGGGTTATACTATGTAGTGTCTAGTAGTAGTTATTTAATAGTAATATGGCTTTTGCTCTCGCGTCGTGTCTCTTGTTTCGCTCCTCGTCGTTTCGTTTCTCTCGATCCCGCTAGGTGCGCGCTCGTCGCCTTCCACGGCGACGGTGGCGCCGCTGGCGACGACTACCCGACCGATCGACCGATTGGCATCGATCGTCCCTCGATCAGGCGCACACTCGGAAATTAATTAAACATAGGATAATCACAGAAGAATGGGGTGACGCTGCTGGGTGACGATCGGCAGTTCCTTCACCGGAGTAGCTGTGGCAGAAGCGTGCTGACCAGCAGCGCACCCGTCAACAGGAACACCACGGGCCGGTCCTGGCGCCGCGACGTGCTCGCTCCATTGTAGGTCAGCTCCTCGTTCTTCACCACCTCGTTCGGGTGGTCCGAGTATTCCTCTGCAAATTGTTAAAGGCGATCGTTAGGCATATGCGATGTACCAGAGATACCAGAGAGTAGAGAAATAAATTATAGCGCATCCTGATATATCAGGTTCGAACGAGCACGTCCACCCATTGCTGATGAGATGCTCTTCGCACCTGGCTTGGAACCCATCATAGCGGTGTCTCTAACGGGGTTCGCGATGTCCATCCTCCCCGTCAATCATGTATGATCCGACTTACGGAATCACGGATTACTCGCTCGACTTAACCGCGTGTCATCCAGGAGTTGAGATTGCACGCGGTGAATATTATTCCAAGGAAAGGCCTGATCGGAAGCGTCGAAGCGGCACAACCGTGGCGAAACAGCGTCGATCGGCCCGGTACACACGCATGGGCACGCATGTTTAATGAAATTTATGAAGGCCCTGCTCTCTCGAACGGGGCCAGTGCCGCTACCTTGGTTGATCGTGGAAATGTAAATGTGGAACGCGAGGTGTTTCCAAGGCAAATTACTAGGTGACAACAAGAGGAGCATGGCGCGGCCAGCAGATGGTGGACGAGGAAGCGGATTGCAGGGCCCGTCAATCCAGCCAACACCTTCGCTCCCTCGGTTTCCCTCTGTTCTTGGGCCCGAGAATGCCCGCTTCGAGTCCAGCGAACGCGAGGGGGCCTTAACGCGTGCGTAAGCATGTCCACGATAAGGCGCACTCGGGGGTACCGAGAAGAGTGCTTCGCCAGGAAACCCACTCTTTTCCTCCTCAGGCCGGAATATATGCGCTTTGTTCCAAGGCGAATTCTAATCTCGGTCTGGGAGCGAGGCGAATCATTCGAATTAAAGCGATTCCCGGAATGTGGCTAACTGATACATACCATTAGCTGATATGATTCTGCCGGCGCGTGGTTTTATTACGAGACAAAGAGCACCGACCGGACGCCGAGTAACGCACCACGCGGTTCCTTTGCCGCTGAATTTGCCATGAAAGGCCGCACCGAGACGAGAACGTTGTATACGCGTGGTCATGTATTTCGTTGCGGTTATAACGCCGAGTAGCTGCGTTAACTATTGTTATTCCGTCCGCCGACTTCTTTGGGAACACTGAAATGTGTACTTGCGAGGTGTACCGAGGGCCTTTTTCAAAAGGACAAAGGAAAGTGCACGATCTTATCCGCTCTCCAGGTGGACACGATTGATGGAAGGTGAGGGTGAACCATCCACTACTCTAATGTATCATTCGCGATCGACTCGGGATGGAGGTAATGTACAACTTAGTGCAACGAGCTCTTATCGTGGTACCCTGCTGGACTCGAATGTCTTCCCCTCGGATAAGGTATCCCTGGCGTATGATGGGAAGGCAGTCGCGTCCATCGCCGTGCATCGTTACCACGAGCAAGGTAATGGTCTGATACGTACTGTTCTTCTTCTTCTGGGTGACCGAAGTCTTGGGCGGCGAAGACGGGGCTCCGGCGTGGACCGGGATCTGAGGCTGGTGGGGATGAGCGGGGTAGACCGCTGGCGGAGGCACATGGGGAAGAGTAGGCGTTGCGGTTCCTGGCTGATGGTGCTCGTCATGGTGATGGACGTTGCTGCCAGGGTAGAATCGCTCACCGCCCTTGAGGACGCTGGGTGGCGGCGGCGGTAGCAGTCTGGGTCCTCCACCGAGGACCGCCGTGCTCGTCGAGCTGCTGCTAGGCACGCTGCTGCTGGTCACCGCCACGGCTGAAAGAAATGAAGCGCGTTTCCATTTCAGAGATTCCGCGTTAGTTAGCCGCCCGGTGGACGCGGCGTCACTCCTCGTTTGTCCCCGCGACCAAAAAACGAGATTCATGGGAACCGAGCCCGGAAGGCAAGGGAACCTGGAGCAGATGAGCCCGAGAGATTGCGCCGAACGTGCGTGCAGCTGAGAGAGAATGTTTAGCTCGAGATGCTTAACTAAAATAAATGTTACCCTCGAAACATTCAGTGAGAACCCTGCACGTGAGACGAAGCCGCGTCCTCTTTTATTTTAACGTGGTTCCCTCCTTTTAATAACCGACCGACTCGAATCTCAGAAGTCTTCGGGGCATTCGTGGTTTGACGACCCCCGATGGACTTTACGACCCTCGAGCCGACCCGGAAAAGTCAGGATACCGACTGAAATCGACGTGCCAAACTCGAGAATGGACGGTCTTGCCGCCATCTTCGATGCCAATGATCTCTCGATCCGTATTTATATATCCGGGCCTAGGCGCGCCGCGTATTCACATTTTATCAGATCTGGACATTTTTATTTCGGGTCGATATTGAATTTTTCCCGGATTTTCCTTTTTTTTTTTTCAACTCGGGAACAAATCCCAAACGAAAATTCCCCTCTGTTATCTGCTCCTCGCGCCGGACACTCGAGCGGGATCCACTCGTTTTCAATAAACTCGGGTATTTCGATGAATAATATTTTTAGTTTAATTTGACGCCGTCAACATTAACACAAGCTCCGTAGGATTATTTCGAATAACGAGGGAAGGTGTGTCGAATCCCTTTTTAGAAGGATTATCCAAGCTTTCAGGCCTTGTCCAAGTGTTCGGGGTATAAAATCGGTTAATTTTAATGTCTAACTATGCATACTGGAAGATTAATCCCGGAGTCCAGTGCCCTATCGGGGACAATTAATCCGCCCCATCAGGTTGACCGGTCGTTAACAGTCGTTCCTTTAATGCCCAATGCAGATAATCTACTTACAGTTATTGCGGGCAGTCGCAGAGGAGGACGTGTCGGCTGCGTTTCCGCAGCAGACCTTGAAGACAACCTTCATGTTGTTGGTGGTGCATCGTCCGCCGATGCGTCTGTGCAGGTCGTCCTTAGAGGAGGTGCTGATGAAGAAGTAGTCGTGCCCTGGAAGGAACTCCAGGCCACCCGGTTGTGGGGTAAACGGCCTGAAGGTGATGGTGAAGTACATCGTCTTGTAGGGCTTATCGCAGACCGCTATCACCCGCGGACTGGGATTCGTTATTCGACACGTCTCGTACTCCTCCTTTGACACCTATTAAGGACAAAATTGATTGGTAACACGCTTGATAGCGGCATAAGTATGCGTAGGTGTAGGTGTCATGGCGAAGCACCTTCAACGAAGGCCATTAAAAAATCCCAAGCACCGACTGTCGATGACTAATTGTTAGAGTTCCGTTTTCGTTATTATTTTTCGTTCTTACGCACTTATCAACAGTTACTTGAACTACTGTGGGACTTTTTAACTTCTCCCTGGAAATTGTGATTTCGAGCCGAGGAAATGTGCCTCGCATAGTGTTACGAGTTAAAATTCGTTGACATCTAAGTGAATGAATGTTTTCTTCGCAGTTTCTCGCGATAATTAATGACAAACAGGTGCAACGGGAATAAATCAAACTCCGGAAGGAAGGGGACCAGACATGGCGATCCTTCATTCAAGTATCCGCGGCGTTCACGCGGACCGAAACGTCAAAATCTAAATGGAAGAGCCCAATATCGAGCGGACACGAGCGAGACAAGGAAAAACATCGGCGCTAATTGAAAATCCTCGGCGACGGTCTCGCCACCTCGGAATCTCGGCGTTATTTCTAGGGAAAATCGATCTCCAGAGGCACGTTCGAGAAGCCGCAGCTGTACAAACAGACCGAGAAGACACGCCAGTTTGCCGCTCGCGACGAGGAACATTAAAGGAGGCGGGAAAAAAGAAACTGTCGTCGCGGAGGAAGGAGCCGCCGCGATACTCCATCCTTTCGGCCTTAACTCCTAGTCGATAAACGCCGGTTATGAATCGGCGGAAAAGCATGTTTCGCAGTAATAACGATCCCGTTGGAGATCGGCTGGAAAGAAGACCGGAAGCGGGGTTCGCTCTATGATTATCCGCGCGATGACGAACGAGCGGAAGATCCCGGATTTACCGGCCAAGGATGAGGGGCTTTGTGCTTGCTCGCCCCACCGTGTGATGGCGCCACCGACGCGGCGGAGCTCGCGAGACTTATCACGGAAATCACGCGGAAAATACCGCGATATGGCTTGTGCTCGGATCTCTTTGCTTGAATTATTAAATACAATTACTCCCAGAGCTCGGTCGCGAAGAACCGGGCATACGAAATTCCAGGAAGAGGCGAGTACACGTCACACCAACCACAGACTCAAAATTATACGGTAGAACTGTGAATTAAGTGGGTACAAGAAAAATGGCGGAAATGTATCAACATCAACCCATTCCGGACGGATGCCAAAGAATAATGTGGGTACGGTTTATTCGTCGGCGATGGTCCGCAGATAATTCATGCGATATAAAGATATTACATCACAAAGATAAACGACATTGACCCGGTAAGTTATTCGCGGGGTAAACAGCATAATGAATAATTTTAAACGAGTGTCGAGGTAATTCTAAGGTATTAGTTCCAAGGTGTCTGGTCGTTAGGTAGGTCGATCTATTTTATGCGAAATATTCTTAGTCGCAGGTGGATCCCCGGAGCGAGGTATCCTGGTACTTTTACAACATCGGTAACGGCCAGTTGGCGATATTCGGTGCAACGAGGCGCGTCCGGCGTCGGTGGCGCCATCTTCGCGAGTGCAAGTCGCCCTCTCGACTCGACGAGCTAAAATCGCGGGGATCACGCACGAGGTACGTTTGTTGCTCGTCACTAACCGCGTTAAGAGTTCTCGCCGCGAATTCTGGTGCGGCAACTACCGACCAGTTACGGTCCAGATAATGGGAGGTTGTACGTACGTTGTAAATGATGTACTTCTCGGCCTCGTCATCGTAAGTGCCCGGCTGGTAGACCGGACATATTATGTTGACCTGGTCATACTCGAACGCCGCGTTGTTCTTGTTCACGTCTATTATGTGGTCCGTGTTGTCTATCCGGAATCTGCAACAGAAAGAACGCGGGGCGTTATTAATGCGACCTCGAGTGTTTCTGGACGGACGTTGGTCGGTAAGCGTGCATACGACACGGTTATGCCATTAGGAGCGGACAAGTGATCGGCATGCTCCGGTCGAGCACCGGTCGGCAACGCCGAGTACCTTCGTAACTCATAATGGACGTTATTCTACGGTACCAAGATTTTTCCCCTGATTTCAGATCCGTTACGTCGGTTATCCTGATCCTTGTATCGAGGTTTGATCGAGTTACCGCCATAATTGAGTTACCGTGGCCGAGGGTTTTCTTGGTTTCATCGCTGCGGCCACTCCTACGGGGGAACGGCGGAGGTCTCGGAGAACGACCCAATGGAACATGGCCGATCCAAGTTCACGGCGAACAATGTACATTTTAACCGGGTAAGGTGGGACGAAACGGACGGGAAATTGACGTTCATATTAAGAACGGGTACACGGGTACACGTTCGACCGTATTACGTTCTTTCTCGGAGTCTCTCCGTCCATTTCTCTTACGTCTCAAGGCTTGATCATAAGATATGAGTAGGAACACCGCCGCGAGGTATAAATCGCGGATGTAGATAATCAACGAACGGTGGATCTCTAAGGAACATTTCGAATGTACAATGAGCCGGCTCGCGTTTGTTCTAGCAATAAGCATTTAGTCTGAAGATTGTGCAAACTGTTGCGCTCCTCTACGATCTCTTTACCTTTCAATAGGTAACCCGACGGTCCAACGCTTCGTAGAGCGCCGTTTCGAGAGTGTCCGAGGACGAAATTGCAGAAAATAAAGGAACCGTCGGAGGAGAGGTCCGTTGTCTCGAAGGATTCTCCAGGGCTCGGAATTCGAGAAAGGTTTCCGCGGAGTCGGCTGGAAGTTGAATAGGTCGGCAAACTATCGAAAAGAGAAGAAAACGATAGCGAACACCTAAGACCCGCTGGTGCCCGTGACATCGAGATTCTTTCAATGAGGAAGGACTCCCGCGGTCGAAATCGGCGCGGGAGATTAAAGTCGAGAGGCGAGGCTCGCCGATTCTTAAATAGGTAATAAAAAGCGACGTCCAATGATTCATTTGACTATTTAAATTAGTCGTTTCAAGTACCATTTTGTGGCGGCCTTCTAGGATCCCGGAAACGTCCCACCACTCATCCGACTCCGATAGTCTCGTGGCCAACGCCACTGCTTAGAGCCACCGACCACGGGTCCCGAGTTCAATCCCCGCAACCGGGAAGAGATTTTTCTTCCCCGTCCAAAGCGGAGTCTCGTGTGCGTGTTTCTCACGCACGTTACAATTTACACCTGAAAAGAGGGGTTCCCGACTCGAAACGCGATATTACTCGCGTTCGCACACCGGCAACGGCTCTTTACTACCTCCCGCTTTTCCATTACGCGCAGAAAAACGCGCGGACGCTTTGCCGCATAAGGAAGTGGACATTGTACCACATATATCAGCGTTTCCACGAGCAGTTCTTTCGATAAGTATTCTCCGAGAAAAGGTGCCGAAGAGCCTTAGGGGAAATGCCGGTCGACCATTTCTCCGGCAGCAAGAACCGGTGAAAGGTTTCCGCGGACTAGGTATGAAAATCGTGAATGGCTCAAGGTCCGCAAGAACGGAAGGTTCCGTAACGCGTTTAAGGTCACCCAGTAATTCAAGGTATCGAGATCGTTCTCCTTTCGCTAAGGAAAGGAACCCGCGATCGGGACGGCCGCGCAAAGTACAAGAAGAAGAGGAGACGCGGCTTTCTTCGCTAGGGCGACAAAAAAAGTCGTGTCTAATTAGCGGGTCATTTCGAGTGTCGCCCGATGCGTCAACCCAACGACCGCGCTTGGAAAAAAGCCGAACAAAAGGCATCCCCTCGTTCATCACCGGAGCGAACTCGAGAAATAAAGAAGATTCCGAGACTCTCCTACCGATTTGTTGAAAAAAGTAGCAAAAGACCGGCGGAGGAGAAATCGGCCGGGCCGGGCGACCGGTTCCGCGGCGTTAAGGATCCCCGAAAGGTTTCTGCGGAGTCGGCTGGGAGCTGAATGGTTCGGCGAGGATCGAAAAGAGAAGAAAGCGGGTGCTAGGCACCTAAGGTCGGCTAGGTAGGCGCCCATGGTGTCGAGATTCTCTCTTGAGAGCGAGGAAGGACTCCCGCGGTCTAAGTGGTCGAGAAGGGGCTGAGAGAGCGAGGGGCCTCGGAAGGTTCCTATATAACCGGTTCCTTCTTTCTCGATCCTGGCACACACGTACCACGGGGCGAGGGAGCAGCGATACCGAGCCCCCGGGATCCCCTGAACCCGGGTCGGCCCCTCCGAGAGAGAGACCTCTCCCTTCTCCTATACTCTTACGGGCATGGCGCCCCGTTTCGCGAGCCAGATCGCAAATCTATTTCGCCCTCGACGGCACCCTCGCCCTGCGTTACATATCGGCGCTCCTCCCACATCCCGTTTTCGGCCTCGTCACCCCGACCGGACCCCTGGGACACGGTGTTTCGACGTTTCGTAGCATTAGCGGACAATCTCGTAAGTGGGCGGGTAAGGTCTCGAAAATTGGAAGGTAGGCCGGTCCCGGGCAAATTAACGTTTGGCGATAATATCCGCTCTCTCTCCGGTGCCCCCGGCTGCCACCCTAGGCACCTCCGCGCCTCGTAACCTCCACATGGACCGACCAGGGTACCCCCGCCCACCTACGCGATTCGCATGCTCGCCGAGGATCGGCCGGTCCGGAGGAAAGTGGGCATAAGGTCAATCCGCCGGTTCCGGATCGGTCCCGGTCGCTCCCGGAGGAGTGCCAATGCGTTACCATCCTGCGTCGCAACCTGTCCAACGAGTTCGATCCCCAAGTAAACGTAGTTAAGGCTTCCGAAACACCGATCATCCCACGGCATCCTGAGACGAGAAAGGTGGAAGAGGCCGAACGCACCTGAGGCAGGTGGAGGCATGTCGACGATTAACGTAGAAACGGGGGAGCGAAACGCCGCGAACTCAGGTTGGCTTTAATATTTCGGTGCTAGGGTACCACGACGTGTTGACGAATCGTGCAATTTTAGGTGTTCCCGTTGTCGTTTTGGAGTCAATTTGGAAGCACCCGTCCAGGTGTTCGTCGGTACCTCGTGGACGCCAGCCGTCATCGGCGAACAATAAACATCGGTCGGCGTGAAAATATACGGACTAGAACACGCCCTCCCTTTCCCGGCTGTATGTTCGAGCAAACCCAGTCGAGGCGGTCCGCACGAAGCGTGTATGCATACTTCCGGAACGAGTCTAGCCGTGACCAGCAAGCGTTTGGACGGAGCCATACGACTCGGATAGCCATCGGCCGGCGACGAGTAAACTCGAGGAAGGGAACGATGGAACGACCAAATGGAAATTACGAAAAGAGTGGGCGTGTCGCGTTATCGTCCCACGTACTCGGTACGAACACCCGCGTCCCTGTATTGATTAATTCACGTGCGCCATTATCTAATTTGCCGGACCCTCTGCTAGGCAAAGACGTTCGGCGGCTGCTGGTCGGCTCGGGTTGCCCGTACAACACCCTCGCAACCATGGAAGTAAATACGAGATTCGCCTTCCATTCCCGAGGACAGAGACAACATCCTCGGCGTTCCTTCGCTCGGAGGATCGTCAAGGTTCCTTCCACCGTGAGAATCGTCGGAAGCGTCCGGCAGCGGTATTTCCCGATAGCTTCGATAATTCACTTTCCTTCCCCCAGGACGCTTTGTGCGGCCGAAGTCGATGAGGAGGCCATCGACGAAATCGCGAGCGTTGTCGCGGTGAGCAACGTGTCCGGAAATAGGACGCTTCCAGAGCGGATCCACCAGCCAGAAGCAGCAAGAAACAGAAAGGGACCGGAGCGCACGTGTGTGGCAGGAGGAGCGGGCGCGAGAGAGAGAGGCCCGTTCTCGCATCGAGGGAGCCAGAGAGAGAGGGAGCGAGACGGAGTCGGAGGTACTAAGGCGGTATACTAAGTGAGGATATTCTGGCAGGAATATCAAAGTCGAGTCAGCGTCAAAGAGTGCGCCCGCGCAAAAAGAGGAGGCTCGGCCTTTGGGCGGTGAGCCTTCGGAGGAGCGACAGTCGTCGCGTCTCGGCTTTTTCATTCGTTACACGTAATTGCAGGTATTGTGGCGGTGGCCCGTCGTTTCTTCTCGGACCTCTCCGAGGTGGAGTCCCTTTCCTCGGGCGGCCTCGCTTCCTCGCGCGCCCCGGATGCGCTCGCCCTCGATTGTCTCCGCGACGACTAATTGGCACGTGCTGGGAAAACTCGAGAACGACGTCCCACTAGGCCAACCTCCACCCGGAGGACCAAGATGAATCGTCGCCCGCGACGGGATCCAGGGTCGTCCTCGATCCCTGCGAGTTTCGAGGCTTCCAGGTGGCTCAGGGCCGCGGTTTCCGTCGTTCAAGGGGACGAAGATTGATGCGGCTGCACCTGCCTCGCCTAAGAGCCCCGCCAGATTTCGTTCACCGATGTCTGATTGGTTCCCCGGGGGTAGGATCCGAATCGGGAGAATTTGCATCTCCCGGGACTTCCTCGTTATCCGGGCACGGCGGTGGCTCGAAAAAGAACGAGGACCGGGGATAAAAAACCAACCCACGGGTCTTCCACGACTTATTCGGCGGGCTGGCCCTCTCGTTAGAGCTCCCCGGGACTTTCCACCGAGCGGCGTTGAATTATACAAGCAATTTAATTAACACTTCGCGAGCGACTCGCAATTTCATATCTCGCCTGGGTGCGCCGGAGGGATCGGATCGTCTGGATCGTATGAAATTACGTCGACGGTTCAGGGCGGGGGCCCGAAATTATGTGGGAAAATGGGGAAAAGGTTACGAAACATCCCAACGGGGGGAAAAAAAAGAGGGTTCCGCACGCGCGGTATCAATGTTTTCAGAATACTTGACACATTGAAAGCCATTAAGCCATGCGCGACTCGGAATTCCTCCTCCCCGGGCGACAAGGGGTGTGGACCCCTAATTTCAACGCTTTGTGCCCCGACAAAACGAAT